GTCATTTGGGTTATAAGCTCATTTCTGTAAATTGATCTGCAGTAATCTCTTTCATCAGTACAACAGTATAGGGCAAGTTCAAACCAAGTTCAAATACTAGGTTTGAACTTGTCTATGTAAGGGTGGTCTGCTTATGCCCTGAACCTCTTTTGATAAGATTATCTTTACCAAGAGCCACAGCTTGGCACACGACCATGGTTATTTGATGGTTTGGCAAAGGCGTCATTTCTGCACGTCATTGCCTTAGCCGTGGCATCTTAACACGAAGGTGATCTTTAGCTTAAATGATACTGTGACAAAGTTGCTAGATACTGTCTTTGTCATAGATTAAAAAAACAAAGGAATTGTAGCTTATTGTAAATAGCCTAATGCATAAATCACTTGTTTTAACAGTCATTTATTTATTGTATTTACTTTACTCTCTACCAAGATGTAGTTTAAATAATCTTTAAATAAAGTTATGTGATGAATAAATGCCACTTGACTTTAAATAAATAACTGACATGTCTTAGCAGGCTAACTTTCAGTTTGATAATGAGACCCTTGATTTCATTACAATGTTTCTGTTTACTTAATTGAAGATACCTTACACAAGCATTACTTGAGGATGTAAGGTGATTAAATAATTATTGTTTTAAACCACACTGGGTAAGAGGTGTGTTTAATGGTGGCTTCTGGAAATCGAGCTCTGACAAGTTTTTACACACAGAGCCTAATCTTCTTCTTTGGCTAATTTGAGTCCCAAGGAATTCAATCCCTACCTAAAGCTACCTTATAAGCTTTGCTCGCATCCGTTGATGTCACACATGCATCACACATGCATCACACATGTCCACACGGGCAATCAAGTTCAAACTGGCTAAGATACACACACACACACACACACACACACGCACACACGCACACACGCACACACGCACACACGCACACACGCACACACACACACACACACACACACACACACACACACACACACACACACACACACACATCCTGTAACTAAACCTACCTCAGTGAGAGTTGTAGTTATGTTCAGCTTTTGATTACACATATATCATATTGTCAATTTTGGGTCCCCTCTAAAAGCACTATGCTACTGTCCATATAACACATTTGATGAGATATTATTGGAATTTACTGTAAATTATCATGCATAGTTTTCTTTAAGGGTGAATGAATGTATACCCTACATTCAACATCAATGGCCAGTGTCATTACCGGTAATTTCGTACTGTAGAAACTAGGGATGGGAATTTGAAAGCAAATGTATATTCGAATATTCGACCCCCAAAAAAATGGTTAACCGATTAACCGAAATGTACATATCCTATACAAAAAAAAAATGTGGGAAACATTTTTACAAAAAAATAAATACATGTTCAAATAAGTATAGAAACCAAGTCAAATCTGTCAAATGTTTTGAACTGGTGATCACAGTTTGAACAGTTGACAGCTATAGGCCTACAGCTTTCATGCTTAAAACATAACTTGGTTTTTAAATTAAAGACGGATCATACACGAACAACATAACGGGTTAGGGTAACGTAACCCTATTACAACAGAGATCAACAACCTATAACAGGGCCTATGCACAGAATGCAGCTATTCAATACTCATTCTTGTTTAAGAATATGAGCATGTCTACTCAGGGGAGAGGCGGGTGCGGAGGCGATTCACAATCAGGCCAGCTGTAGAGAAGACCCTCTCAGCTGGAATTTGGGCATAAGATGAGGTTTGAGTCTGCGTGATCTGCGTGATCTGCGTGTAGGGAGGGGCAGCAGCCATATCATTAGCTAGAACTATCTCTGATGGATTTGGACATAAACGCGAGTGAAGTATAACCGGACGCGAGAGAGAGAGATCAGCACCTGCAGCTCTGCCCGCTGTGAGGGACCGGTGAGCGGAGCAAAACACACCTTTAGACCTAACACACTTAGCTATGGCACTGTCATATACTCCGGGCCAGCGGGCCATTTATAATGTCGAGCCCTGAGAAGGCGTTTTGTTTATCTGAGTTAATATCTGAGTCTCTGAGACACACATGAGTGGGAGCCCACTTTAAGTAGAACTAATCACACCTGTTAATCCCTGCTTGATGGATTATGAAGGTCATATCTCCTATACGCTTTACAGTCTGTTCAATACTCCTGTATGAAACAACCGCAAATAACTTATGGTCACTTTTTTCCAAAAAATAATACAGCTGTGGTTTAAAGTGCTTTCAGTGACGCACACTAAAAAAGTTATCATCCCCTTTGGTAACATATTTGATTCACATGGAACACTTTAGCTTAATTTAAAAATGTGTTACTCAGTCCTAGGTACAAGGGAAGCCGGGAATAGTGAAAGGAAGAAGTGGAACACTAAAATCCAACATATACAAATTATCAAAATGAACACCTTGCTTTCCACATTTCCAAAACTGAAATCTTGGCTATTTTGTGTGAAGATGATTAGACTGTATCAATAATTTGTGGCTGGAGTAAAACGGCTGAAGAGCTTAGCTCATAACTGGAAGCCTACAGTCAATGGAAAGTCTTTATCTTGTCAACAAGATGCAGCAGGATAGACACTTAAGATGTAGGCCACGGCTGTCTAGCTCATGAACAAGTAGTCATTACTAAAGTAGACATATTACAATAAACACATGCTCTTATGTCTTAATTTCTTAATTTTCAATGTCTAAATGTCAGCAGGAACATCATAAATGTATCTGAATTGCAAACATCTGTAATAACTAGTTGTAAAAGGAAGCTTCACAAGCCTATACAAATTTAAAAGAAATCGTATTGTTCTTCATTTTTCATGTTAAAAGCACCCAACAGCCAACGCCTTTATTTTTACTGAACTCCAATGTTAATTATTCTTTATTTAGCAAATATGTCTGAACTTTTAGGAGTTCATTGACCTTGTTTAATATCTGTCTCAGTTTAATCCTGTACGGTCCTTTATGAAGCACAGTATGATTGTCATGTCCTGATGGGACCTATGTTGCCAGTGGATTTGGGATTTAAGGAGATTCAAGAAGCTGTAAGATAATTAAAATCTCCCTGATCAGCCGTACTGTTCGTTACTGTTGCCATATATTGTCTTCCTAAGACTCAGTATTTTTGGTATGCTTTGTACTTAACACCTCCCTGACCTTTAATCTCTGTACCTAACAAAGAATTAATAAGGCTCTGCACATTAGACTCATAGGACTTATAACAGAAGATCTGTTTAAATTACTCCTGTCATGTGGACATTGGCCAAAATGTCCAACTTTATGAGTAATTGTAAGTGTAATATTCCTGATCTAAGGCCAGTCATGTGATTGACTTCAGTCCCATTGTAGGACACATACTGAATAACAGATAAGCTCACCCCAAAGGTACAAATGTTTCATCAAAAAAGTTCTTTATAACCCCCATCTTTGTTATGCTATGCCCCCTTCTCAAAGATCTGGAGATCCTTCAGAAAAAGCTAACTAGCTGTGCTGTTCAAACCAGGGAAATCCTCCATTACCTCCTCAGTGTCCTCTAGTGGTGATGCAGAGGCCTTGCAGACTGTAGTTCTTTTATCTAGATCTAATACTGTGTGTATTATATTCATCCAATGAAACTTGACAACTTTTTCTATGTAAATTGCACAAACGTATAGTTACAACTTGATGTTAAAATATCTACTCAGGGATTTTGATTTTTATAGAAATATTCCCTGAGATCTAGTGGATGCTTGTTTCAGAAAGGTAAGATCTACAATGTCCTTTTTTTTCTGTATTCAGACTGTAACTATTTTACCGTTTTGTTTTCATATTTGCTGACATAGACCTGTAAACCAGTGAGATACTTTTCAAATGTTTGTCTAACCCCAGGTCCATTAGGTTGCTTAAATATGTAATCTGCCTTGTCGTCATTATTGTTGTAACATTGTCTATATGTCATATAGTCTTAACGACATTCCTGGTAAACCTTTAAATGACACAGTACCAGTGCTAGGAACTGTTGACAAAGTTCATATTTTGGATCAATTGGGCTCCTCTGTGGTTTTTGGCTTCATCCTGGTAAAAACCTCCTAATCCACAAGTCTCCTCACCTTTCCCTCACCTATTTCATGGTCAAACAAAATAATTCCTTCAGGTTTACACTTGTTCTACTCCAGGCTCTTACCCCTGCCTTTGGGACTTCATCAAGAGGTCAGTCCAACTTATTTATCTTACACAAATGAGTAGACCAGCTCACTATTCTTTTCTTGAGGTGTCTTTCAAGGGTAACACTCTACCACCATCTGGTGGCAGGACTGTCAACACGCAGGACAAATATAATTATTAGTGACCCAGTTTCACATGGACACTGAATATAAATAGTATATACATATTCAATATTACTTTATGGCACAGCCCTTTATGAAAAACACACAATATAGAATGTTCCTGCAACTAAAGCATATTATTTTTGGCAAAAAGCTACAGGAGTGTACAGTACATTCCCCTCATTGACTTGTCAAAAAGATTTGAAAGATCTTCAAATAGCAAAGTACCAAAGACAAGATAAGCCACAATTTAAAGCTAAGTAAGCTTTTATTTAAAAAAAACCATGACAAATTATATATTCAATTGAGTTCTTTAAACAATGTGGTTTTGGTTTTAACCACCCAATGCTGCTGTATTTTCAGCATCTCCCAACAGTACTGGCTCTGTAGGGAAATACATGTGTTTAGTCACAAGTCTGGTCATGTTGCGGTATTTCAGTGTGCAAAGTAGCGTTATTAATAGAAAACTGCAACAAACCCAAAATGCATTTTATTTCTGCCAAGCAGCCAATGGCGGGAGAAGAATAGGAAACTGTGTCTGCCCCCAGAGGGTGATGAGTGCAATGCCAGAGAGCGATCCCTCTGTGTAACTGACATGGCCCAGAGCTGAGTGCAGCTGTGAAGGGAGAGGGAGAGGGAGGGAGGGAGGGAGGGAGGGATGTTACAGCATGGGAGCAACAGAGAAGGAGGGGAATTTATGTGGAGGAGGGGTTTATCAAGAGTGAGAGAGCTTAAAAGTGATGGGGAGAAAAAGCAAGAGAGAGAAACTGCGTGTGTGTGAAGGAGGAAGATGCTGTTGCCAGGGAACAGCAGTGAAGTAGAAACGTCCATCTTTACCAGCTCGCAGGAGGATAGAAACATGTACTGAACGTGAGGAGAAGGAAAACAGCTGATCCGGACTCCCAGCAGCCCTGGGAGAATCCAAGAGAAGGTAGGCAGGTGTGATTACATAACCACCACAACACATACGGGTGACATCATCACATCAGGATTAAAGCCTGGGGAGGGGGTTGGTAGAGGGAGGAGGGGGATTCAGCAGAGACTATCAGAAATGAATGCGAGGAAGAGGAATAGAGAGTGATCATCGTCAGAAGGGCTGAAAGCGAAGGACGAGGATTATCTTTTGTCCAAAAAGCAGCATGGATTCTGATTGAAAAGAGATGAAAACACGGTGTTTGCTGTGTGATGATCCCATTCTGTTAACCGTTCTCCCTACAGGAGGATACGACTTCTCTCTCAGCCTCCATTAAAGGCATCAGTGAACAGCAAGAAACGTCCTGCAGCCCAGATCCTGAGCACGAGTGTCCCACATGCAGATGTAAACAATGATGACCCTCATTCGGCTCAGGCAGATTTAAGGAGGAGGAAGGAAATAAAGAGGAGATTCTAAAAGCAGATCAGCCGCTCCTAACTGCAAAGAGGAAGTTATCCTTATCACAGTATGTGAGTACCCTGACTTTAACCCGATGATTGATTTTCAGTCAGTGACATTTAATGTATTTTTTCTGCTACTGTTTGTGAGTCAAATTACTGAGATGGTGTCTCAGATATAGAATGGATCACAGTCGTGACAGAAAAGCTTTTCTCCTCCCACAAGAACTTAATGGCCCTATAAAAGTAAATTCTCAATCAGCTTCTTTATCTTGATACCTGCCTAATCTTAACAGATTTCTTTTATTTCACAACAGTTGTTATATTTACATAATATATGTTTGTCTGTGACAGGACTCATTTGGAGAAAGGTGGCCTCTTACTTTTTGTGTACCAATCAGGATTTAATCTGCTCAAACCAATGCCGTTAGGTCCTGATGAAGAAGATTAACTCGTCAGGAGTTGAAATTCTTGTTAAATGATATCTAAATATGTTTTATCTTTGATTGTGGCTTATTGGGTCCTACATTTTAAGTGTGTTAAAGACATTCTTATTTGATTTCATTTTAATTCTCTTGTCTGTAATTTGTAATCAAACAAGTTGGGAAAGAACTGAACTTTCCTTTTATCAGTGGCTCTACTGATGCCTATCTCCAAACAGTAGGCCATGTAAATGTTATCATAATGCAGAGGAACGATATGTTCTATTCAAGTGAAAGCTCTACTGCTTCACTTACATTTGTCTAACTGTATGTCAAAGTAAGATAGAAAAATATTGACTAAGTACAGCTTCTTCATCTTGAGTGTGTGAGTTTGTTTGGATAGGCACAACGCAGTGAAAAGCTGAACAAGTTATTGTTTAGGCTGCCCTGCCATCTGGACTCAAATCCCTAACAAACACGTGCTACTGCACCATCACTGTGTGTCCATCAATCAGCAGTTCACTGTATGAGCAGCTGAGCCTTTACAAGAGACATCTGCGTGGACAACACACCACACACACTGATCTGCTGTTTCCGTGTGAAATGTGCACTTCTCAGCTCACACCCCTCTTTCAGTCTTTATTTAGCAGGGAAACTAATCATCTCAGACAGCTTTTTTTGTTGTTGTGTGAGAACAGAGGAAGTCAGTTTAAAGTGAGATTTAACCAAAAGGATCTTTATAAAAGGGGCTTTCAAGGATTTCCCTATCAAGCTCATATCAAACACTGCAACTTTTTATGGGATAGTACAGTCAGTGTAAACACCTCTGTTGTTTAGAGAATCCAGTGACAACACAGCAGCTCCAGCCGCATGTAGCCTGAGGGCCTGAGCCTTTTAGTCCACTGTTTCCAGTATAGGCTCTGATGTGTCTCACTATAGCACATCAGTGCCATCCCAGTGGACAAATGGACTGTGTTAACGTCTGCTGCAGCATGAACTCTGACCGGAACTTTTATGTAGGAAGAACACTCCTCCCCCATTGGCCCATTCTGACACATGATGTTTACTCTGTGCATGACTGATCCTTGTATGACATCCTGCAAAATCAGAAACAAACAGTAAAGCTTTACTTCACATACCAAGAAATGGACATGTAGCACTGGAAGGAGGCTTTGGTTATGTAAAATATGGATGTTGAGATGACTACCAACTTGTATGATTCACTTGTATCTCCCTGAGGTGCTGTATGAGCAATGTGGTGTTTTATTTTGGTCTCCATTCCCCCGTGATGTAGGGAAAGGAAACCCACTGGGACTCATTTTAGCCAATGTTGTATTACAATGGCATTATCGTACAATATTTACCCATGAGAGATAGCATCAGTGTTTGAAGTCTCTTGCTTTTTGGATCTCGCAATTGCTATGAATCATGCTTGTTAGGAAAGGATAACGTTTGTGGTTTTGTAAGGTTGGATTTTGTACACCCATGTTATGTTTTCTAGCTGCAGTCTAGACTACTTGATGATTGCTCCTAAAAGCTACGGTACACTGGTATTGTGAATAGGACTGGCCTCTTTTGTATTGTAGTCTATTGCTTTGAACCAAAAGAAACCTCAATTATGCCCACAATGAAATTACATAGTTTCTGTCATTCAACCCTCCCTGCATGGTGAACATCCAGGTCTTTCCATCTACACACCTTCAGTTTGTAACTCTGTCTGTCGTAAGATAGTCTCAATTATAATTCTCAAACCAAAATTCATAATCCTGCTTTAATCATCAGGGTTGCGTAAAATGGGTGCAGTTCCCCTTTAACACAGCAACACTCTTTAACTCTTGGTTTCCTACTGACTACGTCTGTTTAATTTGTTTTTCAACCACAGTGAGCTGAAGCCCGTCCTCCTTTGCAGAGGATGGGTACAGCAGAAGCCACTCTACGCATGGACAGCATGGAGGTCAAGGACGAGTGGCAGGATGAAGACTTCCCCAGGTGTGTGTGTTGGTTTGCGAGAGAGAGAGAGAGAGAGAGAGAGAGAGAGAGAGAGAGAGAGCCTGTGTGTGTGTGTGTGTGTGTGTGTTGTGTGTGTGTGTGTGTGTGTGTGTGTGTGTGTGTGTGTGTGTGTGTGTGTGTGTGTGTGTGTGTGTGTGTGTGTGTGTGTGTGTGTGTGTGTGTGTGTGTGTGTGTGTGTGTGTGTGTGTGTGTGTGTGTGTGTGTGTGTGTGTGTGTGTGTGTGTGTGTGTGTGTGTGTGTGTGTGAGCAGTTTATCTGATATGTGCACAGGCTTTGACAAACAGGCCCAGCTATGATGCAGAGTTACTGGCGTGTGTTTAATGGTGAAAGGCACCAGGTGTGTTCTTTCCTTGATGTAGCCGTTATCTGTTATGTGATTATGATGCGTCAAACAATGGTGAACAAACTAGAAACTAGCACAGAGGGAAAAAAAGGACAAATTAAACACGTCACAGTGTCCAGCAATGGAAAAAAAAAGCCAAGCAAGCAAGCACTGTTTAACTGGCAAGCCCCATTTCTACAGCTGAGGAAATGTGGTTATAAAATAGAAGTAGGGGAAAGGACATCCAGTGTATTCACAAACATATTTGTACATAGTTTATCAGATGATTTGGTCTTTATTTGATAGGTTTCTGTAAGAAGTTGTCTTAGTATTACAAAAAAGGAATAGTATAACAATGGTATCCTGGTAGCTCAGCTTGTGAAAGTTTATACAGTACGATACTAATGATGTCATTAGAAATGAGAAGAGGAATAATGAGTGTGTATAACAATACATGTGTTGTAGACAGTTTAAACGTAAGAGCAACATTTTCCAACGATCTTAAAGGGCTTTTCCAATGCAAAATGTTCTACTTCCCACTGTCTTATCCACTCTTGAATGTCTGTTGATGCTGTAAACGTACCTCTACAAAGCTACAACACACAGCGACAACTTAATAACAGCAATTATGCCAAAAGCTCCATCAACGCGCCTGTACTTGTGCTGTTTTAGGGCGTTGCATGCATGTCTGTGTTAATGTCTGTGTCTTTCTCTCTCTGTGTGTGTGTGTTGGTGTGTATACGAGGGCTATCTACTATAATCTAGCCCTCTTGTGCCCCAGCTATCTTATTATAATGTCGAAGGGGGAGTTGGTAATTACAGATGTTGCTTTCTCACACAACACATATTGATTCCCGTACACACCATTGTTAATGAACAATAGCGCCACTCCAAAAACAAAAGAGAAGAGGGAGGAATTGCTAGGAACGATTTCTCATGCTTTATAAATCATTTCAGGTTTTTATTAAACATGTAGCAATTAATTTAATGTAAATGTTAAATGTTGATGCTTATAACTAGCAATTAAAAAAAAAATCAGGACAGTTGTTAACTACATAAGAGAAAAACAAAAGGCCAAAGCTCAAATAGAATTCATAAATATGTCATTTTATTTTGTATTTATAGTGTTTCCATGTCATTGTATTTTTGTTGATTGTTCATACCTTTCCCTGCAGGCCTCTACCAGAGGATGGAGATGGCCTCACTGACAACAGAACCAGTAAGTGGAGTAAATACACATCATTCACTAAATATATATATATTTTTTAAAGATCTACTGTGTCTAAACTTTCATGGCCCGTCTGTCCAGATCATCCCACCACTCTAAATGTGGGCGAGACCATGGCTCAGCGTAAGCGCCGCACGCTGGTCGCCCCCGACATGAACCTGTCCCTGGATCAGAGCGAGGGCTCCGTGCTCTCTGATGAGTTTCTGGAAACACCCGACGACCTGGACATCAACGTAGACGACATGGAGACTCCTGATGAGACGGACTCGCTCGAGTTCATCAACAACGGCAACGAGCTGGAGTGGGAAGGTCGGACAGGAATTATAGAAAATTGACAACTTAACATGATCACTATTGAGGAAGTAAAACATATTTGTTAAGGTCAAGGGATGCATGCTGGCGAAGTAAGGTTAAACAATCAAACCTTTGTCTTCACCTTGTGTCCAGATGACACTCCTGTGGCCACTGCAAAGCGTCTTCCAGGGGAAAGTGACGAGGAGAGAGACTCATCTGGCCGTCTGTGGCGAACAGTGATCATCGGTGATCAGGAGCAGCGGATTGACATGCAGGTCATCAGACCGTACCTGAGGGTGGTCACACATGGAGGTGAGTTAAATACGGAGTGCTTGTATTATTTTAATAATATCTGAGTGTTTGTTTGAATGTGTGCGCTATTGGTTTTGAAAGAACAATACTAAAAGGATATATTTGGCATGTTTTGACCCTCGTTTTTTTATTGTTTAAAGACCTCCATGATAATAATGAACGTCTATCTATCCTCTCTCAGGATATTATGGAGAGGGTCTGAATGCCATCATCGTGTTTGCAGCCTGCAACCTTCCTGACAGCGGCTGTGAGGACTACACGTACATCATGGAGAATCTCTTCCTGTAAGATCCATTCTGGTCTCGTAGGGGACTTCCTCATTAGCATACTGTGTTCTGAGCCTTTTGAAAGCATCGTTCTTCTACTTTATTCTCTTTGTTACTGTATAGTTGATCAAAGGATAGGACTGGAGAAAATGTTTCTAGGGAATATGCAAATATTTAAGATCGTTATAAAGATCAGAAGCTAGAAATGAAAGATGAAGACTTGTTTTGGCTTTAAAAAAAACGCTACTTTGTGAACATTGGAATTATTTCAGGTAAAGTTTTTTCAATTCCAGACGTCAATGCACAGTTTGAGTCGGATCTGAGTGGTTTGCTCTGCCCTCAGGTACGTCGTGAGCAGCCTGGAGCTGCTGGTGGCAGAAGATTACATGATAATTTACCTGAACGGAGCCACTCCTCGCAGGAAGATGCCCGGCATCAGCTGGCTGAAGAGATGCTACCAGATGATTGATAGGAAGTAAGAAAACAAAACTATATTTAAAAAAACTGAAACCTTGCTTTTTAAAGCACTTCCACACAAAGCATACGACTGGATAAATGAGAATGATTAGTTATTGAAAACTGACTTTTAAATGTTGTTAAACGCCGCTCCCATATACTTCAATTTATAAACATTTCTAAATGTTTGGATTCTTTATTCACCGTGAAGGCATTGTGACGCAGCTTGATTAAGAGATTGATATACAAGTGAACATTTTGGGAAAGCTTCATAAAAATGTGAATTTCTCTTGCAGACTGAGAAAGAATCTGAAATGTCTCATCATCGCTCACCCAACGTGGTTCATCCGGACCGTCCTGGCCATCTCCAGACCTTTCATCAGGTGAGGAGGACACAGTCTCTGTGTTTGGTAGTCCATCCATCTTTCCTCTGAGTTATATATCAGCTCTTTTCTAAACAAAAGAAAGAAACACAAAGAAGATAAATTAGAGTCATGACATAATCCATTTGTTTTTAAATTCAAACAATTAGAGAAGTAAAAGAGTAAGAGCTATGCAAAATGTCCTCAACCTCAACGAGAGCAAGACCGAGGTCATCTTTTTTGGACCCCAACCTCCAGCCTCCCCGGTTGAAATTCTGGGCTCCCTCAATAAAAACATCCTCCCCTCTGTCATGAACCTTGGAGTGACCTTCAATAGCGCTTTTAAATTTGATAAGCAGGTCAGCAATGTAGTCAAGACCTGCTTTTTTTTAAATACGACTATTGGCCAAGACCAAGTCGTTTTTATCTTTTAAAGACCTAGAAAGGGTTATCAACGCCTTTGTTACCTCGAGACTGGATTACTGCAACGCTCTGTACGTGGGTATGGACCAGGCCTCTATTAGACGCCTGCAGCTACAGTAGTCCAGAACGCAGCTGCACGTCTTCTCACTGGCCATAAAAAGCGTGACCACATCACCCCTATTCTGGCCTCACTGCACTGGCTTCCAATTCGGTTCAGAATTGATTTTAAAATCCTTTTATTTGTTTTTAAAGCACTAAATGGGCTGGCTCCGGCCTATATAACTGAACTGCTCCAGCGCTACACCCCAGCCAGAGCTTTAAGGTCTGCTGACCAGCTGCTGCTGATAGTGCCCAAGACCAGGCTAAAAACCCGAGGGGACCGAGCCTTCGCAGCAGCTGGCCCGAGGCTCTGGAACACTCTGCCCCTCCATGTGAGGTCGGCCCAGACCCTAGGGGTTTTTAAATCTACACTAAAAACACACTTCTTCTCTCTGGCCTTCTAGTCAGAGCGGAGCACGACTCCTGACATTTCCCTGTGTGTGATTTTGTATTTGTGCTGTTGTATTTGTTGTAAAGTGTTTTTATTGTAAAGTGTTTTTATTGTATGTACAGCACTTTGGCTCGACCAAAAATCGTTTTAAAAATGTGCTATATAAATAAAACTTGATTTGATTTGATTTGATTTGATGCTTACTCGCCTTGGATGGCATTGATACAAGTAAATATTGAAATTGGATCATTGTGACAGTTATTGCATGTTGTTGATTTTATTTCTGCAGCGTGAAGTTCATGGATAAAATCCGTTATGTTCACACCCTGGAGGAGCTCAGTCAGATCATCCCCATGGAGCACGTGCAGATCCCTGAGTGTGTGCTGCAGTGAGTACTCTGAGCCAGCAAGGGTCACTGCTGACACACTAAACATGGCTGCCACAGGTTGTGTTATGTCTGCATGCTTTCAGTAATAATACCTAGTGCTCACAGAACAGTGATGGACCTACATCTGAGCAAAGCTGTATTGAATTCACTAATATTTAGTTTGTGTAATGCATTTATGTTATTGTTCTTAGACGGTAAATTGGTAGATAAGATATTGTCTGCTGAGTAAATGCTGACTTAGAGCAGTACACATGTTACGTTGCAAACATCAGGTGTCGACAGGATTTGAGTAAAAACTCATATTGTTGTTTTTAGACAAACTATAGGTGGGTTAACTTTAGTTTAATCGGAGGCTTTGCAATACAGTGCAAAGTAAACTTGTGATTTTCAAAAGCATACTGCTATGGAATGTTAGCTTCTTAGCATGTTGACATTTCTATTCTGATTTCTCAAAGGTATGATAATGAGAAGTTACGATCACAAAGTGAAAGGTGAGCATTACATTGTCACGTGATTCTGTTAAAAAGAGTTTTGATGCACTTTTAATTTTTCCTGTATATAAGTAGTATCATTAATAATTGCCTGTCTTACTTACAGACTTGAGCAAGAGCAGCAGCCGACAAAACCAACACTAGCTAAAGAAAGGTGACGTCATTTTGCAGTACATACTGTGCAGTGCAGTGCCATATGGAAACTGATAAAGTGAACATGTTTTACTTCTGTGTTCATTTATTATTGTATGTATCATGTCACCTACATAAATTGCAACTTTATTTTAGTAAGATAAGATCCTAGAATGAGACAGCTACCATCATGCGAAAATATGATGTATAAGCCTACAAAATCAAACTGTGTTTATTCTCTTTATATCAGGGGTGTCAAACTCAAGGCCCGGGGGCCAAATCCGGCCCGCGACTTCATTTCATGTGGCCCCACAAGAGCTTGCAAAGAATATAATATGTTTATTATACGGTTACATGCCGCTTTACAGAAGCACATTGCCCATAAACTACATGTCCCACAATGCATCTCAAATTAGACCTTTTTTTCTCGGAATTTGACTTTCTTTTTCAAAATGTTACTTTTTTTTCAAAATTTCACTTATTTCTTTTAGTTTTTCCAGAATTTGGCTTTTCTTTTTAAATCATTTTGTGACATGCGCACTGAAGAGACTTGCAATTGTGTGCCCTAGACTTCTGCTTTCAGACATAGTTAATTATGAAGTTATTACCCTATCCCATAATAATCCAATGCAGAAGCAATAATGTAATATAATACATTATTTTATATATATTAACTATTTATATATTTATTCTTATATAGTCTTATATATAAAACTGGCCCTTTGAGTGCAACCATGATGCTAATGTGGCCCGAGTTGAAATTGAGTTTGACACCCCTGCTTTATATCAAGTGAAAGCCACTTCCTCGAAACACAGATTGGCAACAGAAAAGCAACCTACAGTAATATGGGCTGGATGACCAAGAAAATATATATAAATGTGCTCATGGCTTTGCTTTAATCTGTTATTTCCAGGCCAAAGTCAATGATAGCCGAGGTTGGCCGTGACATCTGACATTAAGGTAAGCGCTCTCGTTGACATAACTGCCTTTCCAACCTGCTCCAGCCAGGCTGGTTTGTAATGTCAGCCCGCTGTAACTAATCTCTGGGAAATGTTCTCGCACACACGCATGCTTATGAGCCTACTGTATAAGAGACATGATATAGTAAATCACAGAAAAGCTGGATGATAGCCTGTGTGGAGTTTTGGTTCACTGAATAAAGGTCTTAAAGTTCAGCTGTCAGATCAGGGAAACCAAAAACTTACAGTATCGTACCGAGTCAAGAGAGCCCACCAGCAGAAATTATTAGATTACTAAAACCCTCTCTTCAAAGATGAACAGCTTATTTAATTTTTCAGTCACGTATAAAACAAGATTTCTGTTTTTTTTTGTCGAACAGCATTGTCAATGACATTATTTGTGATTTTGCACTGTTGGTCATGTTGGTAAAAAAAGGGCATTTTTGACTGTTTCTTTTAGTTATCTGGACTGTTTGCAGTGTTGTGTGCGCAAACAGAAAATAGATGGCTAGCCCCAGGAGGAAGCTGAAGCATGCACATGTTTCTTGCACAAGGATCCCCTTCATGTTTTGAAAATGCTAAATGGTATTGCTTGCACATAAATAATCATTTATAATAATAAAATAAACAACCATGTCCTTCTCTGAGAGCACTAGACCAGAATAATAATGCTGTTTAATTAATGTCGATCATCAAGTGCAGATAATTCTTCTGCCAAGTCATCTTTAGTTCTATAAATTGAGACTTCTAGTGAATCCAAGAAGTGTTAGGTGATCCTCTAACATCATATTCCCCTTCGTACCCGTGTTACATAAAGCACAGCTGCTGATCTCTTTAAGCATGCACACAACCAATCAATCCTATTTTTAATGGTCCGGCAAATTGATCTGCAGCGTACTGCCTGTCCTGAAATTGGGGGAAATACCTGCCGCAGCAGGTTCTGGGTGGGTTAGGCTGGGTGTGGGGGGTTATTTTAGAACCCCCCCCCCCCTGCTGTGCTGTCCTGCTGACTGTCCACACAGCCTTTCCATATATCAAAGCAGCTATCAGACATGGGACTGGCTGATATCTCAGGAATGGACACCATCTCCAAACCAAATACCAGGGGAGGAAGCAGAGGAAAAATAAATAGGCATCACGTCAAGACTGATTTAGATTTAGTGCATGCTTACTGACACACTGCCACAACAAGGATTATATAGGAAATGTTTTATTAAGAGATACATACATGTCAATAGATGTCTTTGAGACTGTCGGGTTATGAAAGAAGCAAAATAATGAAATTGTGTTTATTTGTATTACAGAGCTTTAAAAGGAAGAACCAATGGGGGACATTCACTCAAAAAATGGGAGCACGCCCATACCAACGTTTTTAAATCTCCTGACTGGATTCATTAGATACAAGACAATCATTTCTCAAACTATTATTTTCCATGACATGCTTGCTTCTAACTAAAAACAAATTTACTCCAAAGCATAACAAGCTAAATCAAAAAAGGCATCTGCTCCCTGCATGTCAAGTGGAGCTTAATTCAAAGCATGAATTCAACTTTATAAATGAAAAATGAAAAACTCGTATCTTCCGACAAGGCATGAAATATAGTTTTTAACTCTGTAAATACTTGTATATATATTTTTGAGAAAGGTGCTTGCACAGATGTGCACACATGTTTTGTTTATTGATATGAGTGGAATGGGTATTGTTTGGTTCAATGGCCGTTAACTGGAAAATAATGTGCAATGCAATTGTTCTTCTCAGACCTCCAGTACTCTAGATGTTACTGATGCAAACATGTGTTACAGTCTTCACCTTTCCCAGAGTTTGATATGCAGGTGGCATGCTTGTTTATTTCCTTCTGTCTCATTTGTTTCTGTCAGTTTTAAAGTCACTCGCCATTATGTTTCAAAGATACTTTTACCAAATGGAAAATATACATAGTTACAGATAAAAAACGATATATTTAAAAGAGAGATAGTTTCATTAAAAAAGTGTTATTTATGAAAATGTGCCATTTACTGTTTGTAAAAAAATAAATGAATGAACTAAAAAAAGCTTTTTTTTTAATTCATGCTATACCTCTTAAACTTAACCTTGACTTCTGATACAGGACATGTACATTATCGCTTATATTTCCATCTTTTTATTGCCTCTAAATATATTTCAGGTTGATCCAGACTGACTGACGGTCATGAGGGTTTCTATGTTCTTTGTGTGACCTGACAGTCCTTTGTTGCTCTGCTTAGGGGTCATTTGGGCAATCTGAGGTGACCCTTCGTTACGAGTAAGGTATTATAACAATACATAATCCCTTATAAACAATACGATATAAACAAATTCAGATATTAAAACAATGAACAATTCTTTACAGAACATTTGTTTGTTTGGTAAATTAGCAATGTCATTAATTTGACAGCATCCCTGTGGGCATACTCTTAGAAAGTTATTTTAAACTGAATAGGGAATATTGTGTGTCTTCCGGGTCATAAAGGGAAAGTATGCAGCACATGTTTCATGGGTCTGGTTCGTGCCCTATAATGTTACAGTCTGTAGGGGACACTTTTATAATTCCAAATTCTCCAAAATCATTTTCCAAGAATGCTAAATGTTCTGTTCACGAACATGACCCAACAAAACCACATCAAGGCTGCAAATCACTTTGATATGAGAGAAATATTATGGTCACATGGTGTCAACAGACAGCTCCCTCCCTGTGAGTGTCATGGCGGTGAAATGTGAACTCTGAACATGAAACCATGTGCTCTGATATCTGGGTCTCAACGTTCACCTCTCACACACTTATTACTGAGATAAGAGTTTAAAAACATTATTGCACAGACACAATAGTGACACAAGATTGCACACAGCCGGAGGTGTGCAAAAGGATGATAAGACGGATCTGTTTTATCAGACTTGACTCAAGACATTAATTTGAGACATGAACTCGAGACATTAACTCGAGACACTGCGGTCACATGGAGGCCGGCCAAGCACTCCAGCTTGTTGTATCAGAAGTATGCGTAACGCTGCAGGCAGACACACAATAGCCGACTAAATATAGCTCTGGTGGTTTTCACCCAACTGGTGCTGTCTAAGCATGGAAAACCTTCCTCTAAAAAACACAAATAACAAGGTTTCTCTCTGAGCTGTCATACAGATGTCTCAGTGAGAGGATTTTACTTTTATACTCTGACATATAACAGTGAATTGTATTGGATGTAGAATTTGCTTCGTTGTGAACTTATTATACAGTCAGTCATGTCTTTACTTGACATTTTTAGTTTGGTATGAATAATATCCACCACATGAACACAGGCTTTATTATTCAAATACTGCCCTCAATATATTTGGAAACAGTGACAAATTAAGAAGTGAGACTATAGTTCTGGTGTCGCCCTAAATTAATGGTGACAACTTTTAACGGAGATTTTTGCATGACTTTATATTTAAAGTCTTTGAATTGATATCGAGTGATTAGTTTAGTTTAAAAGTAAAATGTATCTCAAATAAATTAATATTTGACAAGCTCTAAACCAGTGGTTCTCAACTGGTGGGTCGTGACCCAAAAGTGGGTCGCGGACCCGTTTCGAGTGGGTCGCGGATGTGTGAGTGAAGAAAAAAAAGTTGAAAAAAAAAAATTGGAATTTTTTTTTTTTTTTGGGGGAAAAGTCAAACTTTTATTTTGAAGGCCCGATTTTCTTCTCAGAGTGTACCAGAATGCGTAGTTTATGTTAGTATTTCTAAAAATCTCCTGGGGGAGAATCCCCCCAGACCACCCTGCTAGGGTTGGGTTTCAGCATGTGGGCCTTTTTATATAGTTCAGCTTTGATTCCATCATCTCATTAAACCTTTTTGAAAAGCATACTTTAGTTCTGTGAAGGGATATAAGGGATATATGCACTGTCCTTCACTTTTATTAATATTGTATGCTCAAAAGCGTATATATTACAGCACGATTCTTTTGTTGAATAGATTTGAGTGCTTCAAAATGTTGGGTCGCGATGTATTGACCAAGTAAAAAGTGGGTCCCGAGGCCTGACCAGTTGAGAACCACTGCTCTAAACTATCAATCACCGGTAGCTTTTGGTCTGAGACTCCACATGTGGCTCTTTCCAAAAAGACAGCGTGTCTTTACTGTGTATCTATATGTTCTCCGACCCCTGCAGCAGGTGGAATATTTGGGATCTACTTTCATGCAACTGTGAGGGTCCCACTGTAACCCCCCCCCCCCCCCCCCCCCCCGGCTGCTTATAGGCTGCAGGAAAAGGAGGTCTATTGGTCAGGGAGGCTGTGACGCTGCAGCTGAATCCTTTATATGTCCGGCAGGGAGATTGTCTATCAATGAAGTAGTAAAAGGGGGGAACGTCTGTGACCGAGAAGGAAAAGGTTTTCACAAGAAGCTTTTCATAGTCTGTTTGCTTTGGGTGGGTTCCCTTCTTTTATTTACTGAATTCCAGAAGTGACCAATAAACAAACAAAGCCAAAATGAAGTTCATCATCGGCATTGGAGGGTAAGTCTCCATTCATTTATTTACCTGCTACTGCTTGTCTATTGTTGAAACTTAGAAGATAACTCACATCTGTGTTTAATCAAATTATTTTTACATTTTCAGAGTGACCAACGGTGGCAAGACCACTTTAACAAATAGACTACTAAAGACATTACCCAACTGTTGTGTGGTGCACCAGGATGACTTTTTCAAGGTAAGCCGAATGAAGTCATTTTGTGTTTAGTGTAAAGCTAAAGCAACTATTGTAATATTGTTGAGTTAATGCAATAATTACGTGTGATAGATTGAATTTGTCATTTTACCCTGAGTTTATTTTATGCTCAGAAAAAAACTAAAAAACTCCAATGTGACTTACAGTAGTCCTGTCATCACAATAGCCTGGTGTTACATCTGGCTGATTGTCTCCTGGACAGCCAATGAAAGGGCAGAGCGTCCCCACTTAAAGTCAGACTTTGTCCAATCAAGTTCTGCAACCAGCTTTTTGCATAATTATTAAACTCAAGAATTTAAATTAACCCCATATATATTTCCGTGCTACATTCAGGACCCCTAAAGGCTGATTGACCATCAATCACCAATTTCATATTACAAGAGAATTAATGGCATGCTCCCGCTTATATCACGTATTTCTTCTATAGCAATACATAAAAATCGCACATTTTAAATCCCAAAACGCCTTCAAATGTATTCTTATAAGTAAAATAGCCTGCAACACTTTGCTTAAGTAGCTAGCTAACATTATTGTAAATGTAAGGTCACAGCAAGCGTTTCGACCCTTCTGCAAAGTTTTAAAAGATTTTAAGAATGCTGTGTCCTAAGGTATTGAAACCAACATATTGCAAACGCAACACTGAAAACTATTTTCAACCGCACCAAAAATGGTCCCTTAGTGCTACTTTTGGTGGAGACGAGTCCTTGCCCTGTCCTGTCCAGGTGTGATCAGCTCCGACTGCTTACTAGGTTGCAGCAATGTTTTATTGGTGACTGTTATTTCAGAAACCCGATCAAATAGAAGTCGGCGACGACGGCTTTAGACAGTGGGATGGTAAGAACGGATTTTGCGTAGGAAAACCATGCAGTAATGTACTTTTTCTTTCCTGCACATTTCTTACAATTTGGTAACCGTAAACTTTGTGAATGCCTCAAACATTCACTATCTTTGACCGATGTGTGTAACAGCACATTGGTGAAGAGCGTAGTTTCCTTGTGTGGTAAAGCCTGTTCTTTTCTCTCCTCTCTTTGTTCAGTGATCAACGCCATCGACATGGAGGCTATGGTTAGCACCGTGAAAGGCTGGCAGGAAAACCCCGTCAAGTTTGCCCTCTCCCACGGCGTCAGCATGTCACCTGAATCCACCTCAGAGGAGGGGATCCATATCCTCATTGTGGAGGGGTTCCTCATCTACAACTACAAGTGAGTTGCAAGCCATCTTAATCAGTTTTCCACTCAAGTTCTCAAATGTAACCTACAGACGTCTTGACCTTGATTAGCTGTTCTCTAACCTGAGCCTCGCTTCCCCTTCAGGCCTCTAATTGACGTCTACGACAAATGTTTCTACATTTCCATTCCTTATGAGGAGTGCAAAAAGAGGAGAAGGTAACACGTCAACACCGCAACGTTGACAGATTCTACTTGAGTAATGGACAGGCTATAAAATGACTTGATTGGTTATCTATCTGCAGTACAAGGACATACACCCTCCCCGACCCCCCCGGCCTGTTCGACGGCCACGTCTGGCCCATGTACTTGAGACACAGGAAAGAAATGGAGGACAACAGCGACAGAATAGGTATGCCGAAACTGAAATCTGAAATAACAAATCAACGCCCTTTAATGTTCCTACTTTGTTTGTACTCCATATTGACCTCCCTAATGACAAAATAGCTTTATCTGCTACCTTTTGACAAAAAATTCATTTCGAATGTATATTTTTCTGTACAGCGTATCTCGATGGAATGACATCAAAGAACGATATCTACAACAAAGTATATGAAAGTTTACAGAACGGCCTGCTGAACAACTTATAGGTACATTTAAAATATAATCTTTAATATTTTCACCAACAGTGTGACAGTGGCAGTGTTATTAACCCTCTCCTTTCTCTCTCTCTCTCTCTCTACAGCAGGACGAGGATAACAGTGGAGCTGTGTATAGACTTGTAAATATAACTTTGAGCACATGTGTAACAGCAGTGCGTACTTCTAGCCTGATTTGTAAATAGTTAATCCTGTTATTAAGCACCATGTTTTTATGGTCCTGTGTAACTTTTTTCTAAAGAGAAGCCACCTCTGGACGGCCCAGTGTTTAACATCAGGGACGGATCACAACACTGATCTGTATGTGAACCTATAAAATACCCACTGGGAGGAAGGATTTGTGTCTCGTAACTGAATGAAATGACTGAATCCAATTTGTGTTTCCTGTTTTCATTTCAAACGCACAAACACACACACGCACACACACACACACACACACACACAAGTCTCAGACCTCACATCAAAAACATGTGTGTGATAATGATTGAAAACATCCTGGCTCATAAA